CCTTCCCCCTCCTCCTCGCCTCCCATTCACTCTAATCTCCCTCCTTTTGTCATACGGCTCACTCTATACCCTGCTGGCCGTGACATCTCTTCCACACTTCATCCCTCCCTCCCTCCCTCCCTCCCTCCCTCCCTCCCGTCATTTCTCCCTCCTTCCCACAGTCGCGCCGCCTCCATTCTGCGCCGGCATTCCGTCTCCACTGCAGCCAAGCAGGCAGGCGTGGTGGAGGTCATCGTCCGGGCAAAGGAGGGCGGGAGGGGGCGGGGGGGAGGTCGAGGAGGAGGTCGAGGGGGAGGTCGAGGAGAAGGTCGAGGCGGGAATCCAGATCTTTCCCGTCCCCCTCCGACCGCTGGTCCTCCCTCGCTCCCTCCCTCCGGCGGTGCCACCCCTCTCTTGGTCTCTTCACTTCAGCCCCCTCCCTCTGGATCTGGCGGCAGGCCTGGTGCCGAGGGAGAACAAGGGGCTGGGGCGGTGACGGCGTGGAGGGAGGGAGGGCGACGGTCGGGACACAAGCGGCCATTGGCCAGGGAGGTCGGTCACGGCGAGGAGGAGGCAGCGATGGAGGACAAGCAGGGCAGCCACGAAGGAGGGAGGGAGGGAGGGGAGAAGGAAGGGAGAAGGAGGGGGAGGGGAAGAGGGAGAGAACTTAAATGCTTCAACAGGAAATGGCTTCCCGTGCCCGCCCTCCCCTTCCCTTGCACCCGGCGTGGAGGGGAAGCCGGGGCTCAGGAGTGCCGATCCCAAAAGCCGGAGTTTAATGGAGAGGAAAAGACACCGTGTTGTAGATTCCTCTATCGCGTCCCCCCCCACCCGTTCCCATCCCTGTACAGCTCCGAGGGCGGGGGGTACAGCGAATGGGATGGAGGGTGTAGCGGATGTCAGAGGAGGAGAAATGATGATGGGACAAGAAGGAGGGGGGCAGGAGGAAGGAGGGATGAGTGAAGACAACAAGGGGCGGGAGATGCGGAGAAGGGAAGAGAGTTCTCAAAGGCCGTGTGTTGGGAATGTGGAGGGGGCGGGTCAAGCGGAGGAGGGAGGAGAGAAGGCGAAACAAAGAGTACAGGATACAGGGGAAGGACTGGATAGAGGAGATGGGGATGAAGTCGAAAACAGAGGGCAGGAAGAGGTGGATGAAGACGAGGCTACGCTGTGGGCTGTGTTAGGTTCCTGATAAAAAACAAGAGAGCAAGAGCATACGGCCTGGAGCTCCACCACAATGCGATGCCGCGTCGGGCGTAATTCGCCTTTTTTCTTCATATGGACTGCTTCTCATCCTCGAAACGCTAGATCGGGGGCTTCTCGACTTCGTAATTACCATAGTGACTAATATAGTGAACCTACCGCCCATAGTCTTTACGCTGGAGTCATTATACAAGACTCATTATTTTGAGGTCAATCCGTTAGCCTACCCGGAGGAAGCGGCACTATCAGACCCCGATCACTACCGGAGCGATTGAAGCGCCCGAAAACGTCCTGTGCATTTCATCAAGAGAGATTTGTGCGGAGCAACCCTTAAATCAAGAGTGGAGCCTTTACAAGATCGTGCAAGTGGGGCCCCAAAAAACAGCCATGTGAGCAGCGAAAAGATCGGTCTCTCCCATCGGTAGGAGGCGATTTGTTCTGGTTCCGTGTCTTTGGGCTGCAGGCTTATTTTTCACTTTGCCTCCAACTCCTGTGCCGGCATTATTTCGTCCACATGACCCAATCCTTTGGAGCATGCATGAGTTCAATTTGTTGCGGGCATCTTCATTTCGCGAACCCGCCTGTCCATATGGACTGTGTCGATCAGACGGCGATCCTATCTAGAATGTAACAACTTTCGCTTTCCCTGTCCCCTTCATTTATCAGACACCCTGAAAGGTGCGGCTACAATGGGGATCGGAGGAGGCGGTAAGGCAGATGCCGTGTCCTACTACACGGCCTCTGGTGTAAGTATTTCTCTCTCGAGTCTCGATGGTGTCCGACCGTTGCCCGTTTCTCGGACCTCTGATCTTTTCCGACCATTTACAATGCAACTCCATCTTTTCTTGCAGATTGCCGCCATCATCAATTTCCCTCTCTGGAAAGCCTCTGCCATAGGCCAATCCGGGTTCCAGCTCGCCTCCACTACCACCCTCCACCCCACCTTCCCGCCCGCCCTCCCTCCCTACCTCTCCCGATACTTTGCTGCTATGGCCCCTCCCTACAAAGGTGTCTTTGCCACCTGGGCAGGAATGTGTTGGGCGCGTGCGACAATATTCTACGGGTCCGAGAGAGGCAAGGAGCTTCTACGGCAGCGATACGGCGTGACGGGCGCCTGGGCCGGGTAGGGAGGGACGTGAAAGAGGACGAAGCGGGATGGCTTGCCATGCCTGTGAATTTAACCATACATTTATATCTGTATATATACGGGTTGCCATGCCTATAAAGTCAACCATTTATATATATATTCATATCGTATGGCGACGCGTGCGATTGGAGACCTAGTGACCACAGGTCGCCGCATGTCTGGCCGGCAGAGGCCTCCTCCACCTGCCAAGCCAGTCTCGTCGCGAATGGCGCGTCTCTTTCCCTCATCCTTGCCTCCCCCTCCCCTTCTCCTCCAGGGCTCTCCCAGCCCTCGTTACCTCCACGTTCGTACAGCTCTGCAACATGCCCATCATTCGCGCCACCATCACCGTGCAGAACCCTGCCTCGCCCTACCGGAACACCACGGAGGCCCTGCGAGCCATCTACAAGAAGGGAGGGGTCAAGGTGAAGGGTTAAGGAGGGAGGGAGGGAGGGAAAGAGGAAGGGAGGGAGGGAGAGAGAGAGAGAGAGAGAGGGACGAAGCGGAAACGAAGACTTTCTTTGAGAGCCTGGAAGGCGATCCTAAACAGGCGCTCTGACCATGCCATCGCTCCCTCCCTCCCTCCCTCCCTCCCTCCCTTCCTTCCTTCCTCCCTTTCTCTCTTCCTCAAGGGCCTGTGGCTTGGCACCTCGGCAGGGATCATGAAAACTGTCCCAAAGTACATGACTGCGGTGGTGGTGAAGGATAAGGTGGGGAGGGAGGGAGGGGAGAGAAGAGGGAGGGGAAAAGGGATCGGTGCGAGGCTGATGGTGTGCCATCCCCGTGACACTTCGTGGTCGCATGGGATGGAAACCTTGTATCTTCACCCCTCTTGTATGTTCTGCCTTGTTCCTCCTTTCCTTGCAGATGGAAGAATGGCTCGACCCCGTTCCCGAAAATGTCGATAATGCCCGATCTCTCCTCGTCCAACGATCGGCCATCAAGGCGGTAACGGCTGGGCTTGCGGGGGCTGTCCTCACAAATCCGTTGGATGTGGTGCGCAATGAATGTTTTAAAAGGGAGCAGAGTCTCGGCCCTACCCTCAGAGGGCTGGTGGAGGAGGAAGGTGCCCGATTCCTCTGGAGGGGAATGGGTGCGTAGGAGGGAGGGAGGAAGGGAGTGAGTGAGGGAAAGAAGATGGCGGGAAAAGAGGAGAGGAGGCGAAGGGAGGGAAGGTGGCGGGAAAAGAGGGTGGGAGGCGAACGGGGGGTCATATACATCGTTGGGGTGCATTTTTAACGATCTGTCCATTATTTTTGGGAACGCGTGTGCGTGTGTACCGCGTCGTCCTTCCCTCTTCCTCCTTTCCCCCCCATTTCTCCCTCCCGTTCTCCCTCCCTCCCTTCCTCCCTGCATCCCCCCCTCATCATTCCCCTCTTCGCCCCCCTCCCCTCAGGCAAGAATGTGGTAGCTGTGACAATCCCAGTAGCTGCGACTATTTTTTTGGCCGATATAATCAGCCGCGCACGGGGCTTGTGAGAGAAGGGAGGGGGGGAGGGAGATAGGAAGGGAGGAAGAACACAAGTAAAAGAATGTATCTGTATAAGCCTCGAGAATGATGCGGGTTCATCGCAGCATGATGCATTTCCTTTGGGATAGTGGTGCATATTATTTTGCGCTTGTTCCTGTGCAGTGATCTTCCTGCATAGCCTTAACCCCAACCTCAAGGGCTGCCTCTCCCCACGCCCGTACACGTTTCCTTTGCCTAGTCCGTCATAGAACCGTGCCTGCCCCTCTCTCCCTCTTCGACAGCACGCAATATGGCATCCACTGCACACCTCAGCTCTCTCAGGCCGTTGCCTTACTGTCACACTTCACCCTTCCCTGCCACGCTGCTTCTCCTCCTTCCCGACACCCGACACGACCCCTCTCCCTCCCTCCCTCCCGCCCTCACCCTCAAGCCTGACCTCTACCTCTCCCTCGCCCGCGCCCTCCTCCTCTTC